GTTCATATTAGCTCATGAATATGTTATACAGTATTTAGATTTTACAATACCAAATTCAAGGTATGCACTGTATTTGCCAATCAGATTGCTTATGATTGCATGAGGTCAGAGGTTGATTTGATGTGTAATTACTGAAGAACGAGTGATTGCAAAATGATTTAAAAAGTCAGAAAAAAAACTGCTCCAGCATGTCCTACTTCTGCATGTTACAGAATTAAATAAAGTTCATCTGATTCTGATATGTTTCCCTTTTTTCACTGAGTAGTTGCCTGCTATAGCTTCAATGGAAAAACACTCAATTCAGGTAACAACCAAGCAGCAACTTCCAGTGTTGAAAAATAAAGCCAATCTTAAAAACTGCAGTTCCTTGAGTGTCCACTTGAGGCTGGCTCCAAAAGACCTGGAAGTCCCATACACACCCTATATTAAAATGTCCTAAGCAGAAATTAACATGTTTACAGCCTGGTACAAAACAATGATTTTGTCTGATTAGTTGACGTCTTTATCGGCATACACTGAATGGGGGGAGACTTTTTGATGACTCAATCTGGATCTTGTGAAAGATAAGAGTCATGCGTAGTTAGGGGTGTGACTTATGCCCTCTTTAGAGGCAGATGGTGCAAAAAAGGCAAAGATGTTCTGAGAAACTAAACAACCACTGATAAGGTATAGTAATAATACTGGATTTTGCACAAATCTGACTCTGCAAGCATCTTCAGCCTGTTGTTTGCAAACTGTTAGCATGTGGAGTATGTGTATGTGTATTCAACTAGTGCCATGATATCTATGGGCTGTGGATAAATGGCTACCTTGGAAAGGATGATTTATTACATGCTAGTGAAGATAGATTTGTGAGGTTCCAAACTTATAAAGCTAAGTTGAAGGTTGACAATAAAAATTTGATTTATTTTTTCAAACCCAATAGGTGATGTCCCTTAGGCTTTGTCTGTGTTTATTTAGTCTATGGTATCAACCAACAAAATACTTAAAAAAAAACAAAAACAAAAAAAAAACACTGTCCATTTGTTCTCTCTTCCAACTATGAAGAGTCAACCACTTTGTCAGTGACCATAAGCTTCAAAATATGAAACTTTAGAGCTAAAGAGTAAAATTCTGCTGAGGGCTGTAGACAGGCAAATGGTTGGGTCAAACGAAAACGGCACCTTTATCCAGGAAACCAGGATTTAAATCCTGCTTTAAACAAATGGTCAAAGTAGACTTTTTAGTAAGGTTGAGGTATTCTTAAAATATCCATCCAGTCATTTTCTAAACCACTTGATCTGTTCGAGGCCGCGACCAGATCCCAGCACATCCCAGCTGTCATTGGGCTGACATGAGAAGACGAGCAAACATTCATGCTCTTTTTAAATGATGCAGCATGTATTAGTTTAATGTTTTAGTCACTGTGCTTTAGTTACTATTCACGTATTTTATGTCTACTGCAGCCCTAAACTCATAAAATGGGAAATATGTGACAGTACAAGAAGTACAGTTGTACTTCGATTGTCATACTTTGCAGCTATGGCCACCAACAAAGCTGCTCTATTCAACAAATTGTTAGTGAGAGAGTTGTCTGGCCCCACCTTCATGCTCACGCCTGCAGGCCATAAGACGCTTCACCTCCACACTCCCTGAGGTGACATGCACTGAAGCAACACATGCAAACTCCTTAAGCAAAAAGAGTGACCTGAGCTCTCTACTCCCGCTGAGCTGAGTTTTCTACTCCCAATGAGGTCATGGTTTTTCCCTAGAAACATGTTGTGTAACCTTCCACCTGCCTGACATTGCGCGGAGTAAAAAGTCTAAGTTTAAGAATCTTTCAAATACTGGAGGAGTGCTGCTTGGCTGCCTGCAGAATGAAGAGCAGGAAAGTTATGCATCAAGTGCTGAATAAAGCAACTGGGCCCAGTGGAATGTGAAACAATGGCTCCTTCCAGGTGGTGATGTGCTGTGAGAGGCGGGAGGAGGGGGGGATTGGATGAGACAGAAAGCTCGTCTGGCTGTCTGGCTGTTAGCATTGGACTTGGCAGCTCTCTGCCAGGGAAACGCTGACAGGCAGGCACGCCTGTCACAGCACATAAGTGCCTTCCTGCAGAACCCTGAGCCCTGTAGGGCAGGTCAGCTCTCCTGTGTTCAGCTCACCGCCTCAGTCTTCCACTCGCGCCACAGGTTGGAGGGTGAAGCAGGGGGCGTGTGTCACAGCCTTTATACGCCTGAAAGACTCTGAAAGGTGAGAGAAAGGCCACCGGTGACATGGTGGAAATGTGTTGCACACAATGTGTTGTGGTAGACCTTAACATCCTTTAATTAAAGGAGATGTTTTGTGATGAAAATGTGCTGGAGATATTTCCGCTTGCAGAGACTTAATAATCAAAGCGGGTCCGTAGAAAAAACTACTGATGCACACAGAGTTCAGCTGTTACTTTTATACGTCTTACAAATTGATGATCATCTTAAAATCTGGACTTTTGATTAAAGTATCTTTTTTGCGGGTTTTTTTTTTTGTCTGCATTGACAATCAGTCCCCTGGAGGTCTGGAGCCGTTACCATGACGAGGATGAGACTGTTGTTGTTTTTCTTGGAGCTGCCCTTGATTGCTCCTTTCAGCGAGGAAGCTTCGTTTAAACGGTGAAACTTGAATACAAATTTTTCAATTTGGGCCTCATTATTATATTGAAAAAATGTCCCCTCCCCTCATAGCTTATCAAGTTTATGTGCAAACAACTGAGCTCCGTCAACAAGAGAGTACAGCTTTGTGCAGATAAACAGATAGCTCTGTACATACAGACATAAAACAAGCTTGTTTGCTCCCCTGTGAATATCAGTGGTGCTGTATGCTTTACAAGGTTACCTTGGATTTATTAGCAGCCCCAATCAATAGTTGATGCCCTGACATATAAACATTATCAACAAATCAAAACCTTCATTCTTCAAATCTTACCCAAAAACTGAGCGTGTCTTTACTCTTTTTTTATCTACTTATTTTTGAACATTTCTTTTAAAAGTCAACAACCTATTTTTAACTCTTTATGAAGGCTGTTCCACAAGTTAAACCCAAACTGTCAAACTGGCCCTGTTAGTTATTTATTTTACAAACATGAACAATTTCACTATTAAAGGTCACATTATATGTAAAATCCAATTCACCATGTTTCTCTAACTCTAATATGAGTCTCTAGTCTGTCGACAAACCCCCCAATGATGAGAAAAGTCTATCCTCTCCGTCTTCTGCCTGCTCCACTTTTCAGAAAATGTGTGCTCAAACAGGCCGTTTAGAGATTTTCCCTTCATGACATCACAAAGGGCAGTAACCCCTCCCCCAGGTGGGTGACACTCCTACAGCTAGGTGTTTGTTCTGCCTTGTGAGTCTGCCCTCTCACCGTAAACAATAGGACATGGAGCGAGAAAGACCAAGCCACATCCCCTTCCAGAGAGGGGCGTGGTCAGACATAGCTCATTTACATATTTAAAGGTACAGACACAGAAACAGCCTGTTCTGAGCAGGGCTGAAATAGAGGGGTTAATAAACTTGATCACATACAGGATCAGAGTTCACAGACATGTTTTGAGGAGCTCTGAGACTTATTTAAACTGGTTGAAAAGGAGGATCATATGTGACCTTTAAACTATTTTTGGACTTGGTGTTATATTCTAGAAATTCGCAGATGTTAAGGTGACGTGATATTTTTTTCATGGGTTCTCAGGATATTCTGACAGAAACAGTTATTTCAAAAAATAAAGGCTCCTTGCTGCAATAAAAAGGAATATGAATGATTTACCTCTACCCCCCCCCCCCCCCATCCTCTTTAAAGCCCAGACTGCCATCTACATAAAGTGACTCAGGGATTCTGGTAGAGTGTTCCTGCTGCATGCAAAAATCCCCAAATGTTAATTTAACACAACAAAAGAGACACTGTTTTGAAAATATGTTCTTGTCTATTTATAACCTAAAGTAAAAGTGATAAATAACATCTGTGTGTGTGTGTGTGTGTGTGTGTGTGTCTTGGTGTGTGCAGATTACCTCACTTTGACCTTTGCTGTTAAAGATAATGTTTGCATAGCCTGTTCCTGTTGTTTTGACTAGCACAGAGTAAGCAGCAGCTCGCTCGCCTTGTTTTCCTCGTGGAGATAACTCGAGACTTCTTAAAATTCATTCCTTGACATTTTACAAAACTCACAGATTCCTGCAACATGTGAGCAGATGAACAGTTGTGTGAACATGTGTTGTTTCTTACTTTACTGAAGGCAAACCACTTGACAAGCACTCATTGACGGCAACACAACAAATACTTCAATATTCAACAAGCTTTTTTGTAGAATTTTATTTTTTTTAAGAGACAAGGCAGAAAATGTGGATCTTTCCCATGCTTTTAGAGGTTTCTACAGTGATACTTTAAGTCCAGTCTAATCCATCTCCTTGTGTTTGCTGAATTTCATTGCACTAGTATTGATCTGTCTTGGCGTATATAGGAAATCAAAGTCACCTAAAAGTGGGAACTCTTCGGATTTCCAGTAATAAATGTATCTTTATAAGTCTCAGACTGCCTTGATTGTGATGCTCCTGGCTGTGGTGTGTGTGTGGGGGAGTGTTAGGTGTATTGATTCTAATGTGAATTCTGGCAGACAAAGACGAAGCACAACTGCCCTGACTGCTGGCCTTCAGACACATTTACATATCTCACATTTTCTAACAAGCTGTCTTACTTAATGCTTTCAGTCGCAGACATTACATAATGAATTGAAAGTGACTGTATGGAGTTAGAGGAGAGAGCAGATGGGAAGAGGGAAGATGAAAAGAGACTCGAAGAAAGATGAATTGAGATGATCCTTTTGAGATGATACACTTATAACAGACACAGATTGTATTTATGGCTGGATTGCTTTTTCAGGGGAATGAGGAAAGTGCCATTTCAGTATAATGTAGACATTCATTCTGCTTTATATTCCTGAAATCTAAAAGCTTTTCTTCTCTTTTTTTATCTCTTTGTTCTTTCCCACAGATGTGCCGTGGACTGTCGATGATTTCTCCTCCTCCTCCAGGTGAAACCCAATGGCTGACAAAGACTGCACTTCGCACCGCCCTTGTTACCCCTGAGCTCACAAAGACAGATCTCATCCTCAGCTAAAACACTCTGTACCTTTCCCTTTTTTCTTTTGTCTCCTGACCAATCATCACTCTTCAGTCATCACCATGGCTCGTCTGCTGGCTTCTGCGTTTCTTCTGGTTCTCCAGACGTACGCTGCCCCGCCTGAGCTTGTCCAGGCAGGATTTGACATGTCACTAGACCTTGATTCTGGACTACCAGCCAATTTCTCTGGAGTGTTGCCCTCATCTCCACCCCCCGGGACAAGTAAAAGAGCCCCGCACAGTATCATCATCGGGGTACGCAAGGGGGGAACTAGAGCGCTGTTGGAGATGCTGGACATTCACCCTGAGGTCGCTGCTGCTGCCACCGAGGTGCACTTCTTTGACTGGGATGAGAACTATGCCAAGGGCTTTGAGTGGTACCGCGAGCTGATGCCCTACTCTTACCCGCACCAGATCACGGTGGAAAAGACTCCAGGTTACTTCACATCATCCCTCGCACCAGAACGCATATGCGCCATGAACTCGTCCATAAAGCTGCTGCTGATCTTGCGGGACCCAGCAGAGCGTGTCATATCCGACTACACCCAGGTCTACTTCAACCGCCTTGAGAACCACAAGCCTGTGCAAGCCATTGAGAACCTGCTAGTGCGCAACGGAGCCTTAAACATCAGGTACAAGGCCATTCAGAGGAGCCTGTACGATATCCACATGCGGAACTGGCTGCGTCACTTCCCCCTGGAACAGATACACATTGTAGACGGGGACGCTCTGATTCGCGACCCGCTGCCAGAGCTTCAGAAGGTGGAGCGTTTCCTCAACCTGCCTCCAAGGATAGTATCCTCCAATTTCTACTTCAACCAGACCAAGGGGTTTTACTGCATCCGCAGTGACGGTAGAGAGCGCTGTCTGCACGAGTCCAAAGGGCGCCCTCACCCGGCAGTGAACAGCACCGTCCTCCAGCAGCTCCGCTCCTACCTGCAGGAGCACAACCGAACCTTCTTCAGGCTGGTGAAGCGCACCTTCGACTGGCAATAAGTAACCCGATCACGGATCAGACTCGAAGGAGCCGCTGCCTTGTCTGTGATTAGGACGAAAAGGGGGAATGAAGCACTTTACAAAACTAACATTTACAAACCCCCTTTGTATAGCCTCTTATTAACTTCTGTTGTGGACTCTGGTTTCAGCAGAGCCATTCTATAATCAAATGATAAGGCAAAAAAAAAAGAAGACAAACTGTAACTAGGGGCATAAGATTAACTGGAGGAGTCTCCAAGCTTAATAAGTTGTTCTATCTCTGCTGGTTTAAGTGATCAAAACTGCAGCAAAAAAACGAGTTTGTGAAACGGATGAACTGTTTTTCTTCTCTCTTGTTTGATATTCTCGTACTTGATAATAAATGGTTCTGCTTTCAAATGTACCAGACAAGCTGCATGTTTCCGTCTCTCTCCATACATTCTGGCCATCAAAAGCTCCCTGAGCCCACTAACCCGGGTTATTTAGGGAGTATGTGTAGGTAGGCAGAGGCATTTGAATAAGCCTTTGATTTGCTAAGGTGGAAGGTAATCATTAATGCAAGGGAAATGGGTACCCTGGAGCAGCGCTTTAGTAGTACAGGAATCACTAATGGCTTTGGACACTGAAGGTAGCCTGTGCCTGCAGCTAAATCAGTCACATCGCCATAGTCAGCAAGCTCAACTCCAGGGAGCTGCTGCTGCATTTTGCTGCTTTTCTCTGCAACAATTTGCCCAGGTGTTAAATATAGTCATTAAATCATGTGCCTAGCAGTGCTGCGGAACATCACAAATGCTCCTGTATCTGTGTAAACGTTTCTCTTCATATTATCTCTTTCCTGAATCACTCTTGGCATGCAGTTTTTTTCCCAGAAACATCTTGTCGTCTCCACACATCAGATAGACACGGGTCATGTTTCTTTCATTGATTAGGCTTTAAACAGCAGCCAAAGCTACAGCTCCACTGGGATGTGATATTCATGTGATCTCCTTGCTCTGTCTGCTGGAATAAGCACTATAACTCTCCTGAGGCAAGTAGTCATTGATGCTACATTGGATCTATATCCAGAACAGAACAGGGGAGGGGGAGCATAGCTGTAGGCTACACAGAATTATGCTGAATATTTATATAAATAGTTCATGAAGATCTGGAGCTTTAAAGTATAATTAGACTGGAAAATTATGTGATTCTCATGTGTGTACACAAGTTGTGTTTGATGAAAAGGCAGCGCTAAATCCTCCGTAAGTCCTCTTGCTCAGGGACTTTTCTTACGTCTGCTCACCAGGGGGCACTTTGGCACCAGAGGAACCCACAAGAGAGCTGCGTGAGGAAATGAGTCGAGACGTGCTCTCTCGAGGATCCCCTCTGTGGGTGCACACACAGGTGAAGGGCCTGTGACGTTTTACCTCCTGACCCAGGTCGAGGCCTGTCTGCTCTGCTATGAATCAAGAAGAGAACGGCCCGAGCGGCCTTGCTCCTCTGCCACAACACACACACACACAATCATTCTTAAGGTGTTACATTACCAGTGTTTCCATTAAGCAGGTGTGTCGGAAGGACAAAAGGGCATGTTTTACTTACAATGTGAGAGCACACGCCGAACAAATTCTCTCCTAAAGCCCTCGTTTATTTCAGGAAAAGTTGACTGAGTGTGCTTGTCGTTTTGCAGGACCACTGAGAGCTGCAAAGTGCATTTGTAGCGGTCTCATTTTGAACTGCAGTCAGCAGTAGGTCCTCTCAGGAAAAGGACATTTATATCAGCAAATCCCCTAAAATGTAATAACTGCAGAAATGAGACTATACACAATGTGGAGATATGACTGCATGGGCTTTATATGATAATCCAGGGTTGACTTTTGGCAGAGGGGCTGTTTGTTAATAGGCAAGGCAAGCAACTGCTTAGGGCACCAGGCCAGTGGGGGGGCCCCTGGGGCTGACAAACTTTAAACCACAGCAGTGGCTCAAAATGTGCAAATTTTGCAAAAACGGAAGAAAAAGGGGGCACCGCCTAACAGCACTCCCTCTTGTTGACCTGCTAAACGTGGCATGTCTTTTTGCTTTGAAAACCAACATTTGTCAATGAAAGTCAACGAAGGAAAATAAAGAGGAAATATCTGTCTGGGAGTGAAAAAAAGAAAGGGAGAAAGAGGAAGCTGAGTAAATGTTGGGAAACTGGCAGACAAAATGGTCAATGAGTTTTTGCCTATAGGGCCCCAACAGATTCTGTAATCGCTGCTGCCTTTTGGTTCGATTAAAGCGAGTTGTTGGATCAATTAAACAATGACATAATGCTGCCCCCCCCCTCCCCCCAGATAATTCAGCTGTTTATCAAGTTCATTTAAGAATCTGGCCTCTATTTTCTTTTAATAATTTGCAAGCATGACGGTATTCTTACATTTCACACTTAAAAAAACTCAACTCTAAGCAAGGGTCATTGTCTCATTTCTAGTAAAAAAAAAAAGTCCCATTACACCTATGTTAAGCCACATTTTTTTGGGAGCCAAACTAGGTGGAGGACAGCATTATCTTCATTGTTTTTGAAGCACTTTGCACAAAAGTATTGTGCAAGGACATTTAATCCTGCTTCAATCTGGTTACAGTGTCTGAAAATAGCAAAGTCAGAGCTCTGCCATTGAAAACTGCAGTGTCTTGTGCAGTTGGAAGTTCAATCCAGCCTTTGGTGTTTTTGGTAATCTGAGAATCTGTGTGTCCTGTTGTATGTAAAAAGCACATAATGCTATGATTCTGTAATGCAAAGTAAAGTCATTTAAAGCCCCTGACACTAACAAGTTGCTTTAACTAATGGCTACCATTGAGCGAGTCACTTATCATGGCATGTCTTTGATAACTGCCAACCTCGGGCGTAATTAAAGGTTTGAGGGGGTGGTCTGAAGCAATCTGCTCTAGATGCTTTAGCTGCTCTTGTCATCCTAGAAGCCTCTAATGATCTGTCTGGGATTGTGATTGATGAAGCACTTAGCATCGAATCAAAGCACGAGGAACGCTTGCTGCTTGCTAAGCTGCAAACTAACAATCACTGTATTTGTGCAGTACAAGTCTATTACGGAGGTGTCCTTCATGTGTATTAATGACCTCAATGTTAGAAGCTAATACTCATTAGGAGATGACTGACACGGCTCAGCAGGTACACATAAACTATAACCAGCATGGGTCACTGAGCCGGGCTGCAGCTCTATAACTGCAGGAGTTAGTTTTCTTCATTTTAATTTTTAGTTCATGAACACTGCAGCACCTGAAGCATCTCTACAAGCGATTAATTACACCCTGAATGACTTGCTGTTTTAATGATGATGCAGTGCTTTTATAGGATTTCAAAGATAACCTCATTGCCATCTGAATGAGCATCTCTGTGTTTATATCTCTATTAAAAACAGAGCTACTCCGCACAGCTGTGCACACAGGTGTGACCATCTGGACGATGCCTCCGAGCTCGCATCACCGTGAAGCTATTTCTAAAACATCAAGGTGGCACCGTGCAGGATAAGAAAACACACTTTTATTCAATTCGTGCTGCCAAGACATCACCGAGCAGCAGCACAGTGTTTTTAGTTCTCTGTTTTTTTGGCTCAAATGCAAAAAGCCTGTGGGGACTGATGCATACTATATCCAACAATGCCGTACACAACATCACTGAAGCCTTTTTACATCTTGCTTGATCAGAAAAAGAACAATGAACATAAATGTAATGAGATCAGGGACTCGCAAACCGATGTTTCCCAAAATACACGCTGGATAATCGCAAACACAAAAGCCTCAGAAACCTAAGAGCAGTTCAGATAAACCTGTTTTTCACACATAATTTAAAGGCTCCTTGTTTTTTTTGTTCCTTTGTGATTACTTATTCATTTGTTTGTTGATTTATTTTTCATTGCCTCGGGTGCAGAGGGCATGTGTTTGCTGCTCTCATGGAAGTTTTAGCTGAAGGGGAAGGGAAGGCTTCTGCTGCATTCAGGTCAAAGGGAGGAGAAGGAGACATGTCTGCTTATTTGCAGCTGAGTTATAAAAGCTTCTGATTAATCCTTTGAGGCCCTGAAAACAAAGGGATGAAAAAAAAAACTGAGGTGAGATCAGGGCTACACACGCTGAGCTCATTGTATCAAACTGTCTATTTAGTCAAAGTGAAGCACAGCCTCCTCGTGCAAGTGGACTTCATGCTGCTCTGCAGGAGACAGAAAGTCAAGAGTCACTGATGTATGAAGTATGGATTTAAAGTTTGGCATACAACAGAACACTGTGTTATGAACCACCAGGCCAAATTGCAGTAACAAAAAAAAAAGCAAATTATATAAAATATGCTATGTGGCTGTCAGGGGCGTGTCCAGAGGGGTTGCCAGGGGCTGCATGGGCAATCTTAAAATCTGATTGACCTCCATTTATGTGGATTTAGTTGTGAGTGATTCTGCACAGGTCCCTGCTGATGAATGAGAGACACCCCTAATTAAATCAAATGTCCAACACCTGTGCACACAAAGTGGGCGGAGCATTGTCTACTGAAGATAACGGCTTTGGGAGTTGTTTGAGAGCACACATGACGAAGGTCCAGAGGAACAGAAATGTTGTGTATCTTCTAAGAAAGTTGACGCTGAGCAAGATCAGTGTGCAGGATTTCTCTCTTTTCAAGGCTGCAGTTATACATCCTGCACATACTGCTTCATGAGAGGGCTGTATGTGCACCTCCTTAGAAACAAGCTTAGTGTTTCACCATCTTGTCTTATATGTTAAGAGCAACAGAAGCAGAGAATAGAGAATATGTCACTGAGAAAGATAGCTCTATAAAGGGTCATAAGGTAAAAAAGACATAAACATACTCCACTAACGTTATATCTGTGGTGCTTCCCCACTAAATCCTAACAAGACATGCATCCCCTTTTTTTAGTACACTTCACACTCAGCACTATGTGTCTCCATATGTCGGAGTGCTGATACAGCATATATAGACTCTGTGTCTGTTCTCCGAGCTGCAGTCACTTCTCTCCCTCAGCCTCTTTTATCCCTCAATCCTCCCCAGCAGCTCTTGTCTATCCAAATCAAGGGCTGGCGGAAGAGTGCCAGAAGGCATTTCACTCTGAAATCTACTCTCCTTTGGGTTTACAGTCGAGCCCTCGGTCCCTGCTATGATTCCTCCGCAGCCAAACAACAACAACAGCCTCAGTGCACAGTGACGGCTGAGAACATCACATTTCACTGCTGGATTATAGCAGGCCGGGCCCACAGGAGCAAAGTGTCACACAAATGCTATTTCCTGCTGCAGCAGAGAGGGGCAAGAGGGAGCAGACTAAAGGAGGAAGGTCTCTCGGAGCTCCCTTGAAGTGCGTCAGTCTCTCTGCCTGTCGTCCTCCTGCAGCTAGTGTCTGATTGCTCATGTCTCACTCATTTATCTTCTCT